ATATATATATATATATATATATAGCCTACGCGATTGTCCCGTATTTTCGTTTTCTGAAGTTGGCAACCCTACTGTTACATGTAATTTTATGGATGATGAAGAAGGGACGAGAAAGTAAAAACTTTATACTTCAGGATGGCTATGTAGTTTAGTAATTAGCAGAGTTTGAATTGCATTATAATGTGCTACATATGAGACACTTAACACCATGATAATTCATGAGATTCTCTGTCTATGTCCCACCTGAAGATGCCCTCCGTCTGGGCTCCACCCAGGGCCAGCACATACTGAGAGAGCTGCACCTGCACCCAGGGCAGTTTCCTCTCGGGGAAGAGCTCACTCTGCCTCTCCATGATCTCCTCCAGAGCGCTGTCGAACAGAGACGGGGTCACGATGGCATTCCGACCGTGATCAATCTCCTCCAAAGTGGGCTTCCTCAGACCCTACAGATGAAACAAATATTGTACATACTTGTCACTTGTCACTGCAATTTGACTAAAAGAACTAATAAAATGTAGTGATATCAAATTTATATAGACTCGATGAACAATATAACTTATCAGTTTCGTACTTCGTAAGTTTGGGGTTGGTAAGATTTTTAAAATCTTTTAAAGAAATCCGCATTTATCTGAGCAAAATACAGTAAAAACAGTAATACTAAGAAATATTGTTACACATTTAAAATAACTTTCTAATTTCATATATTTTAAAATGTAATTTATTCCTGTGAATTTTCAGCATTACTCCAGTCTTCAGTGACACATGATCCTTCAGAAATTATTCTGATATGTTGATTTGTTTCTCAGGAAACATTTATTATCAATGTTGAAAAAAGTTGTGCTGCATAATATTTTTGTGTAAACCACGATACTTTTTATTTTCAGGATGATTTAATGAACGAATGAATGAAAGTTCAAAGTAACAGCATTTATTTGAAAAATATATATTTTTTGTATACAATGCAAGTCTTTATATTCACTTTTGATCAAATTAATGCATCCTTGCTGAATATAAGTATTAAAAAAAAAAAAAAAAATCCTAACTTGAACTTGATTTGATCCTTTTTTTCTTAGTATCAGCCCAATGTTGTATATTTAATTGTAACTTTTATTTTTACACTTAAATCACATTTGCTGTCATTCACTTAAGGTTAATTACTCATTAATAATTTATTAACACTGTTAAATGTAATCTTGTTGTAAATCTCAGAATGAATATCCATTTTTCATGCATTATAAATGTTATGATGCCTAAATTCACTTGTACTGCTTAAAACAAATGATTTTAGTTTTTAAAGCATTATATATATATTTATTCAGACAAACTAGTATATTATTTTAATATTGAGTATTTATCAGTTATCAGCCATAAAATTAATATAATTATCAGCTTATTGGCATTGACCAGAATGTTCAGAAATACTTTTCTAGAGTATTTTGTTTTCTGGAACTTTTGTTATTTTTGGAACTTGACAGTCTGTGGTCATCGTATTCATCCTTTGCATAGAATAAAAAGAAAGACAAACATTAGAATGAATGATGACAATCCTAATTTTTGTCTGAAATATTCCAGTATGAAACAGAATTAAGTTTTGAATATCAACCCTCCACTGACACATGAAACATCTGTTGATTGGACTGTGTTTCCCTCATAACTATGTGGAACAGACAGACACCATCTCAGCTGTAACTCAATATGAAAGATCAGCGCTGTGTGGTGCGGAGGTAAAAATAGCCCACCCAGTAAAAACGCTGGAGACAGAGGTGGGATGGCTGATTACAGGGTGGGACTGGTGAAAGGACAAATAGGGAGGGGAAACAGCTTCTGCTAGTGCCAGTGCCGTTAGCAGTGAAGTGTGTGTGCACGGACGAGTCTTACACAGGGGCCTGGGGGGATGTTGTAACCTTTTCTTCTTAGTTTGGGTTAGTGGATTAGTAATTCTCATGGTGTGCTCTTAAAGGCCCGGTGCTGTGATTGCTTACAGATGTGACCAATTTTAGACGGCTGCACCATATACTGCACTCAATATGAAAGATCAGCGCTGTGTGGTGCAGAGGTAAAAATAGCCCACCCAGTAAAAACGCTGGAGACAGAGGTGGGATGGCTGATTACAGGGTGGGACTGGTGAAAGGACAAATAGGGAGGGGAAACAGCTTCTGCTAGTGCCAGTGCCGTTAGCAGTGAAGTGTGTGTGCACGGACGAGTCTTACACAGGGGCCTGGGGGGATGTTGTAACCTTTTCTTCTTAGTTTGGGTTAGTGGATTAGTAATTCTCATGGTGTCTCACAGATGTGACCAATTTTAGACGGCTGCACCATATACTGCTTCTTTTGACCATTCGGAGACTCCTGGGTACGATCTAACAGCGGTGCCGGCATCTATAAATAAACAATACTCCCAGGAAAAACTCTTTTTAATTATATTTGACATCACATGATGGAATCATGCAACTTCTACGTGTCTGGTTAAACCAGGTTAGGAGTCACTGAGCATGTTATGAGTCCATGCTGCAATCAAGAACTGATGAAGAACCACAGCCTGCCTATTAAAATTAAACACAGCTGGATTCAGATCTGAGCTGCGGAGCAATGCGTGTTTTTTAGAGTAAAAAATTTGATATGACAAGCTGAGAATTATTTTTATGCGATTAAATGTCCGATATTGAGGGATAGTTCACCCAAAAAATGAATAATCTGTCACCATTTACTCACCCTCAAGTTGTTCCAAATCTGTATGAGTTTATTTCTTCTGTTGAACATAAAAGAAGATATTTTGAAGAATGTGTGTAACCAAACAATTGCTGACTAAAATGCAATGGAAGTCAACATTCTTCGAAATATCTTTTGTGTTGAACAGAAGAAAAACTTGTACAGGTTTGGAATGACATAAGGGTAAGTAAATGATGAGAGAATTTGATAATCTATCCCTTTATAATATATTGTCTAAATAAATAAAATAAACACTAAAAACTAAAATCAATAATTTTAAATACTACAAGTGACATTAGGCATTACATTATAATGTACCGTATTAAAAAATTGATATTAATTTGGAGATTAGCTAAAGATTACTTTTAAGAGAGTTATTAGTAATTATTTGAGTCTTTGCAGATTTACTGTAAGTGAAAGATAATTGCCAGTAGTTGTAATTTAAAACTAAAACTAATACAGAAATGTGCAGTACAATTAAATAAATCTAACATCTACTGATATCAACTGACATCTACTGATATTATTATTATTATAAAATCCATAATAATAAATTAAATCCATTTAAAAAAATATTAAAAAAATCTATAATAAAAAACCTCTTACCTTCTTGCCCCCAGTAATGGCCACTTTTTGCAGCTTACGGTAGCAGTACTTTGCGTAAGTGCTGATGGAGAGACCTGTCAAAGACAATTAATATGCAGTATTACTGATCAATGACAGAACTCTGAAAGGAAATGACATAATTGACCACTGAGTGACCCAATGCAAGTTTGTTTTCTGGTCAAATCTGCAATTCAAAGGCCTTAAGGAGAAACACAGTTTGGCTTGTGAATGAGCCTTGTGACTTGTATCAAAGTCCTAAGCATAACATTCTTTCCTAAGGGATTTATCAATAAAGAAGTCTTTAGAAACAAAGCTAATCCACTCCACTCATTTTCTACGGTTTCAGAGTTCATGGCCGAACATGTTATGAAAGAGAAAGGCTTTGGGTGACAGGGGCATAATAGGATTTTGCAGGCATTCCAACAGTTGGAGATGGAAATAACACAAACAACAACATTTGACAGCACGGCCAGAAAAAATAAATTTGCTTAACCGATCAAGTTAAAAACATGAGATCAAACACAGAAGGTCACACAAAGACAAAGACAGATGAGGTGCTGTGCAAGTAGCTACTCGCCAATTCAGAACCTGACAGGGCTTCTTCTTTTACTCAAGACCAACTTCGGTGACTCATATGCATATAAGTGTTTTCCAGCAGCTGAAAACTGAAACCCTCACTCTTGCTAAGCATGACTGCTCAACGTCCTGCTGGGAGAATGCTGGAAGTGAACATTTCGAGTGAGATGTGAACGTTTCCTCACAGCTACAAGGTACATGAGGCGTGAAGTTTAACTGTTACAAGAAAAACTGTCAGGAAAGCAGCATTTAAAGTACTAATGGAACCTGTCATCCACGCTCCGCTAGATGAAATATCGCTCACACTGATATTAAAGTGAAAGCGATACAGCTACTAGTGACTCTGGCTAATACGCACTGACCTCTAAGACTTACACTGCAGTGCGAGGCGCTATCTGTTTCATTAAACTCACTCTCACAGCACTTCCCTCCCTTGTTTCTTCTTGGGAACGTGACTCATTCTTTGGCTGAACAACCTTACGTGGTTACACGGGTCTGAAAGAGATTTACAGCGAACAGGTGACTGAGGTTTGACTGGCCTGAACTGAAGCCTGAGAGACAGTAAGAACAGACACAGAGAGGCTTCAGGGCTCTTCACAGCCATTACTCACACGTTCAGACAAACATACGGACGGGAAGAGGGAGTAACAGTTTTATATGGGACAAATGTTGACGATAAAAATCTAAAAAGACAAAATGCTCAGTCAAACAAGCTCACTATGAAAACAAAAATAGCATTCCTTCTTCAACGTAGCAACTGAAATAACTTGAAACAACTCAATGCAAAGTTCAAAACCTCACACGAGACCGTTGAATGATTGTCCAAACATAAAGCTAAGTTTTCATGATTAATATGATGGATTATGCAGTCAAATGAAGCAGGCATATCTATAACATTTGCATGCTGAGGTACTGGAGAAACCGTCTGAATGTGTGTCTTGTAGTAACTCATCATCAAATCTGGAGAAAGGATATTCAGTGTACGATTTACTTTGAAGATTTTTACTCAGAAATTGCTAGTAAATTCCACAAGTAATTGCACAGAAATGGCAAGTGATGTACTTTTAACTAAAAACTAGTCCATATGTAGACAAATTTGGGGTTTTTTTCAGTTAATGGTCTGAAGAAAACCCTCATAAAACAGATAAACGCACACAGTCGTCAAAGTTTCCCAATATCAGACCTGACAGGAACAGGTGGTTCTGTATGAGACTGTCTACTGCCATCAGGCACAGTCTGTGAATCACGAAGACGATGAGATTTATAGCTTTTGTTTTGATGACTCTTGTGTGTATGAAGCTGTAAACTCATGTTAGACGAGCAGGTCAGATATTTCACAAGAGTCTGCCTCACTTCTCACTTCTGGCTTCTATTCTCTAGTTTCCCTTTTGACATTTTTATTCTTACCTTTCCTGATGTGTGAACCTCTTCCCTCCATCTTTTTATCAGTCATCATAACTCTATCACTATGTATTATAGAGGTTTGTGACCAAAATCAGTGAATTTATAACATGGTAATGATACACCATTCAAATGTTTGGGGTCTGTATGATTCCTTTGAAAGAAATTAATAATTTTATTCAGCAAGGATGCATTAAATTGATCAAAAGTGACAAGGATATTCATAATGTTACAAAAGATTTCTATTTAAAAAAAATGCTGTTCTTTCAAACTTTCTATCCATCAAAAGTATCCTGAACAACTCATGTAATCTAACTCAATCTGACCTAATGACATCATTATCACATGGCACAGCTGATTGGTTCTCTCCTGTATCAGTAGCCAATGAGCTCGCTGCTCAACATTCAAATATATGACTAGCACTTGCCGTAGCAGTTGCAGCTTGCTTCAGAAACCCTCCACCTTCCCCAGCTCCACCTGTATAGATCTGCTACGAGGTGATTCCTGTACGCTATATGGGGGTTATTTCATGTATGTTATATTTGCAGCAGCAATATTTCTTACATGCTCACAGCAGCATGTTGTGGATGTATTGGCAGTAGCAAGTCTCGGTACTTGCTCTGCCGCAGCAGCGTAGAAGATCTATTCCACCAAGACCAAATACATTAACATTGTCATGTACATTACCATGCCAATCCCTCCGAGAGTTGTCATGACAGAAATATAAATATAAATATATATATACACCTGTTTTTATACCATCATACAGTACTGCTAATTTATTGGACTTGTTCCTCTTTCTTTCATCACCCATCTTCTTGGACTCATTTGTGAATGTGTGTTGCGTCTGATCCTACAGTTAAACACACTTTTATCATCGGCCTCTTAAAGATAAAGAATGACAGTTTGAACACTTCAGCAGTTACCATAAGAAATGAAACGAGCTGATATGAGGGCTGTTTTGCATACAAATAATGCCAGTGTTGTAACGGAGGTCCTTTGAGCCCATACAGGTTTTTTTCCCCCCACAACACACCTCTAACAGGAGGCAGGAGTAGGTCACACCCCGACAAAACATCCTGAAACAAGAGCGAGAGAGTAAAAGAGCCTTACAAAAAAAGAAAAACAGTGCCACATCATATAATAAAGTCCTCTGAGAGTGTTTATTCTATTTCAAAAGGGCCTGTGAACTCCAGCCCTTCCCACAATGCCATCTCCTGGGGCACACGGACAGCTGGTGAGGCCCTGCAACGGTAAAACCACATTCCTTCTGCCGTTCCAGAACATTCCCAGCATCCAGTCAGAGAGCGGGAAGGTGCAGAGGTGTCACATGGAATGCTCCACTGCAGCCAAAACAATGCTTGGGATGACTAAAGTAAACCGGCAGCACTTCAGTCAGCATGAACAAGTGAACACTGTTTAGTGACGGCAGTCTGATACAAGTGAAATGTTTCCTTTGTATTTTCCATCCACTAGAACCACAACAACATTCCTGACATTTGGCTTCCACAACAACACACGACGCTGGGATTTGAAAAGCCATTGTTTTTCTGGCTAAGCTGGATCTCAACACTCTTACAAACATGGATGCCACCATAATTCCTCCCACAAATCCTGTAATCTTTACCATGAAGTTCAAAGTTCATGATCTTGTTCACTGTATGCCAATGGCACATGAAACCTATAGTGTTGCTGTATCCAGTTGATGAAACCACAACCCATCTTATGCGATTAATGGGGAATAGCACAAAAACAGCACAATGACAAAGTATAAAATTATGGTTAAAGGTCAATGATTATCAACCATTGTGGTCTGAAAATGATGATGTACCCTGTATTAGGAGAGTAAAGTTACACGCATTCGTACCGAACATTTTTCAGTTCGGCAAACTTACAGCAAAACTACTGCACAAGTGAAACTTCATTGGAAACTTCCAGTTTTACTTACTGTTACTTTTGATAAGAAACAAAGTCTCATCTTTCATATTATGTCTGTTTTTTTCAGGAAATTCAAACTATAATGCCATGCTTTGATGTGGCGTGACAGATCGCTGTATGAACGCTTTAGCTCAAACGACAGCACAGCGCGAGTGAGCGCTATCATCCCTTTCTCTTTACTACTAGTTTTAACTGAAATAAACATGAATGAACATCTTATGCCTCATGTAATCTCTCAATCAGTGTTTCAACTGCATCAAAACAAAATGTCACGTAGCATTTCATTTACCTCAGGCAAGTCATCAGTATCCACAGCTTGTTAGTTCACTAGAGAAATTAAGTCTAGAGAAGAGCATTTCGCGAAATATTAAGACTCATTGGGCCAGATTTACTAACAGCTTGCACCCAGGCAAACCGTCTTTTGGCATTAAAATAGTACTGTCAGGATTTACTAAAGATGCACAGTGAAGAATTAGCGCTGAAAAGGCGTGGACAGAGTTATTTTTTGCGCCTGACCTTATTGAATATGCATTTGTAGAAGTTTCCCTTTCAGACGCAAAATTTACGGGAGGAGAGTATTCAAATGAATCACGCAATGTGATTTACTAACATTTGTGCTCATTAAATTACTGGTATTTGCGCCATTGTTTTAACGCCCCAAAAAAGCATGTCTTAAACTATTTTGCACCTGTGTCGTAAGCAAGCGGCAACCTCCCGCTCTCTCTCGTGAAGCCAACAAGGAAGTGACTTAAACTGTAATTCATCAACTGGCCGCTAGAGGCTGGCTGCAAAAAGGAGTCAATCCCATAAACTCACCATGTTAAAATGCCCAACTTTACAGCAGAAAAAAACATGTTTACAGCCTGGTTCAAAAAATGATTTTGGTCTATATAGCTAATTTTGCCCTTCATGACAACTGTGAGGGGGTGAATTTTTTTATAACTCATCCATTTAAATTATATTAATCCTTAAAGTTCTGCATAATTAAGGGCGTGGCCACTTGAGTGACAGGTGGATTGCCACTGCTGTCACCACCGTCGAGCTAGGTGGGTGTGGCTTCACTAACCTGCTCCCGCCTCTTTGCCCATTTTCAATTATCCGGGAGTGACGCGCTGGCAAGATGGCGACGGCTGGCTCCGCCTATTTTAGGCTTCAAAAACGCTCTTCAGAAATCTACGGGTGACGTCACGGACATTACGTCCATGTTTTTATACAGTCTATAGTCGTAAGTAGATCACCCGCACCTGATGAGCATCGGCTCTGCTTATTTACTCTGCACTTGGTACCTTGCGTTGGTCAATATGTAAATGAAATGTTGCGTCTGGGTTCTTTTATTTGCACGTTGTCATTTAATCATCCGCAGAAATTTCCACCCCCATTGGCGCTGTTTTGGAATTGCGCTCTCACGCTAATTTCCTGTTATAATCTACTACAATCTAGTAATTGAATTTATGTTTGGGCTCTATTGTTAACTGTAACCTTATAGTAATATAAAAGGGCTCTCTAGATTTTTATCCCTAGTAAAATATTAGTTATAATTGAATTTATTTAAAGAAAGAGCAATTTGTTTAGTAAACCACTGTTTAATAATAAAAAAAAAAAGTTAAATTTTTCCCCCTGCTGTAGCGTAACAATACTGAACCATTACACCCCTACCCTTAATTATTAAAAATTGCTTCTAAAATGCTCACTTAAGTGGACACCAGCACCAGAGGGTTCAACACTCTCACTCCCATTTCAGATATGAAATGCAGTCCGCTAATTGTCGCCTGCTGAGTGCTTTTGAACTCCTCGCTGAGTTCACACTGTGATGTATCAGTCAGTGCAACGATTTCATCAAAGTCAGTCAGAGGGTAGTAATAAAATGATGAATCACATATAAAACAGTTAATGAACTAAAAGATCGGGGCTGGTGGCAAAGTCTGTAGGTTCGAATCCCTCAAAAGGTGATCCATGAACACTTGCTCCAGATGTACTGTCCATGTAATAAGTATTTAGTACTAAATTATATATTGGTAATGATAGTACATTTAAGCCTTCCATCTCAAACAGTGGCAGTGGTCATTACTTAACTGGTGATAGTGAAGAGAGCACATGTCTCGTGGCACTGCCCCTGTGAAGACAGCGCACAGTGTAATTAACCAAGGCCAGGCTGGAGCTGCATTATTAAGAGCCCACGCAGAGCTGTCTCGTCAAACTCTTTGTTTTGGAGCGGGGCTCTTGAGAAAGGCTCAATGTGTGCGCGAGGAATATAGAAGAGAGTTAAAAGAACAAGCTGAGGGTTAAGTTGGATGGCAGCCACTGAGGGTGTAACCTGATAAAAATGTCCCGTTCTCCTTTTTTTGTCTCAATCCGCCTGTTCTTCTTTTTCTTTCCATCTCCTATCACTCTCGCTTCAAGACTGAAAGACGTTCTCAGGATCTTTGTTGACTCTCAACCCACAAACTCTCTCTCTCTTTGCCTGCGCAGTCTGGCTACGGGCCAGGGAAGCGTGGGACTCGCAGAATGTCTTGTTGCTCAAAGCTTTAATCTTGCCTCTAAAAGAGAGAGTGAGAAAGGGAGAGAGAGGAGGGGGATACTCCCCTTCTGTGCTTGGCCAGCTGCTCTCTCTTTGAGTGGTCCTCCTCCACCAGCGGACCCAAAGCATCATTAATACTCCCCCTCCTCAGCCAAACGTGTTACCAGGAAGATTCCCTTATTTACATTGAATACCAAACCCCCTTGACACTGGAGCCTCTCTTTCAGTTAAAGATTAAGGATGCTTTAGCTTTAAATACCAACTTATGAATTGAAAGAAAGCCAATTCCTTCATTCTAAACTCCCAGTCAAAATCTCTCCTCAAGTTTTCTCATGTCTGTATGCATGTTTCCCTGATTGTCTGTGTAAATGACTCATTCCACCATAAACTCACCCTCTTCTTCCTCATTGTTCTGTCTCCTCTTCTTCCCGGATTTTGAATTCTTCTTGTTTTTTATGTCCTGCTGCTCCATGATGTGCTGCAGTACTGTCAGATACAATAAAACTGTTAATTCTGAACACTCATATGCTCCAACAGTCCGTCCGAACAATACATGACTTCATTGTTCCATGACCTGTGAAGTTTCACCTGCAGTAACCCCTGCGTTTTATTTTTCTCTCCTCCACAGCGTTGCATCCTGTTTGGGTAGGCACAATGCCATAATAATTTTAGCAGTGTAACCAATATTGGCCTGCTCTCTTTGTATGTATATAAGTGTTTCGGGCTTTGAATCCATATGGGACAGCCTAAAATATAAACACTCCCCCGTGTGTGTCCTTTCCCTGTCCCACAAACAAAAACACTGGACTATCCAAGAAATACACTAGTCCTATTTGTATTACACTAGTCCTAAATTATATATCATGAAAGCTTAGAATGAAAGCTTAGATGCTCATATGAAAGCTTAGAAGCCCAAGATTCATCCTGTGAAAACCATTTTGAAATCAGACATTGTGTTACCATGGAAATGGTACTTTAAAATCTTTTGGTGGTCTCCTCCCCCTTAGTGGGCGGTGTCAAGTGTCATATTACAAAATGTATTATGGTATTTTACAATCAAAACCTTTTATAATCTTGACAAAATACATATCATTGGAAAGGTCTGAGTCTCAGGATTCCATAGAAATCTAGACATTTGTGACAGAAAAATGCATTAAAAAAAATTCTATGGAGTTTGGATGGCACCCAGTGGCTGTTTGCGGTATAACGCCCTAAATCAAATCTCACAGGAACCTCAATTTTTTCATATCAACTTCAAATTTGGAACATAACTTATTTAGACACAAGGCTTTAATTTTATACCAATTTTAGAGTAAAACCTGTTATGTAAAATATTTACTATATATAAAATAAAATTAGTATAGCGCATTTTCTTTACAGTAAATTTAAACGTCTATAACCTTTTGATACTTGAATTGTTTTGAAAAAATTCCACTTTTGCAATAATCTGCTGATTTTCTTCTTTAAAAAGAGACCAACCTTAGGTCTGTATTCCAAAGTGTTCATAAATTACAACAATTTAAGTTTGGATAGTGCACTTTATTGCCTATTTTAAAAAATGGGGTGTGACAGTATCTGGACACTTAAACCACATTTATAAATGTATGAATGCAATTGCATTAGACATAAACCTTCAAAGTAAACCAATTCATCTATAATAAATATTTGAAATGACCTACTTTTCTTATCATTACTGGGCTCAAGGTGTCGCTGGATGTAGCCTTCCAAATAGCGCCTAAACTTGGGCGAAGGCGAGAAGAACGCTAGGCTGATGGCCATCAACTCCCAGCCCGCCTCCAAGCTCCTCAAACTCAAGTTTCCGGTGGTCTGTCGCACCAACTGCACGTACAGTTCATCCCTCAAGCCTTGCATCCCCCAGCACTTCGTGACCACCTGAAGGGCCGCATGGCATTTGTCCAATCTGGCTGGCCTGTCGCCCATGTAGGCCTGGACCAGCTTGAACATCTCGCAGGCTTCCTTCTTGACAGACCGGTCGTTGGTGATCAGCATTGGTTTCTTAATGGAGCCACGGTTCCACGAGAGCATATTAGCAATGGAGACGCGCCGGCGAAACAGGCCCTGCGTGTGCTGGTTAAGGTTCTTGCTGGCCCAGTCCTCCATGTTGGCATCGGGTGTAGGCTTGCAGAGGGTGGTGTATGGGTACTGGTAACCAGAACCCGTGCTGGCAAGGGAAGGAGGGGGGGGACTGTTGTTGTTGTTTTTATGGCTGAGGTGGGCGGTTCCACGACCCGCTCTGTCATGGTCACAGTCCTGGGGTGAGATGTCCTGCTGAGTTTTGGATTCCAGTGTTCCTGTCTGGAGACAAAAAGAAAGATTGAGAAACAGAAAGATGTCAGTACGGATGCAGCTGTTCTAGCGTTTATTTGCATTTATTTACGACTGCCGCAGGCACTTGAATCCGAGTGCGTGTGTTGCGTAGGTTGCAGCTGATTGGCTTACTCAGTTTCCCTGCAGAAACCTGGAAACGCTCACATGGATTACGCTCACTCCCTAAATAGGTGACCCAATATGGAAATCGCATCCCAACTTTAAACATTACTGCCTCCCCTCTTCTCTCTCCTCCTTTCTCCCTCTTTCCTAACTCATTAATACTCCAAAAAAATCCCTGTCCGACTGGTTCCACACTGAAGAAAATTAATTTAATAACTGAATTGAATGCATTTTTCTCTCATTTAAAAATGTTCACATACACATATAAAGGAATAGTATTTCTAAAAAAAAAATATCATGATGGAACAGTCATGATGGAACGAAAGTAGCAATAGATATTTTCTTCCTTGTTGTAGCATACATGCGAGTGTAACAGATGGTGTTGGGAAAAGTTACTTTTAAAAGTAATGCAATATTGTTACTCCCTGATAAAGTAACTGATTGCATTACTTAGTTACTTTTTACAGAAAGTAATGTTACACTACTTTTGCGTTACTTTTTCTGATCTGGGCTTGCTTGTTTGTTTTAATATATAAAAATTTGTATTTTGTCAAATGTAAAAAAAAGCCCTTTCATTCCCTCAGGCTTAAGGCAATGTAAATTCACTCTCAAAGAAACCTTTTAGTTGTGCTGCCATTCAATATTTCATGAAGAATAGGATGCAGAAGAAGAAAGTTCATTACTCTTCAGCAGTAAAAAAATAAATGAAACACAAATGTTATGTTATGTTATGTTTATAAATGTTACGTTTATCTAAAGTCATTTTGGCCTCTTGGTATGGTTGAATTGGATAAATGTCGGCAGCAAAGGCATTGGTTAATAAAATGGGATTAAATACATAAAGTATATTTGTGTTATTTAACTTACTTAATTATTGCAGGTTTGAGTAATATTCTGAGTTTGCATTTCACTGTTTTTATTCATTTAGATTTCTCTCAACATTGCGACAGAAGAACTGTAAGTTCATAAATCGGAAAACAAAGTAACTGGCGTTACCTATTTGAAAAAGTAACAGATATTTTCTTGTAAATTAAAAAGTAATGCGTTACTTTACTAGTTACAAAGTAATGATTATGTACAGTAACTCACATTGCTTGTAATTACGGCTGTCAGTTTAACGCGTTAACTTAATTAGTTATGAAAAAATAACGCGATTAAAATATTTTAACGCAGTTAATCATCTTACATTTCATACAGTGGACTGACAAATATGATGCAGGGCAACAACAACATAAATGCAGTTATGCCCTAAAATTCAAGATATTAGGGCAAAAAATGCCTCTGTATGAGTTTTTGTCTCATATTTATATCATATGATAAGCAATACCACATGAGCAGCGAGAGTAATATCACAGGAGTGCTGTTTTTGTCACGAAGAACACGAGTGCAAATGTGATTTTATAGTACAACAGTTCAGTAAATAAGAAGTTAATATTGTGCTATATTTTAAACACATTAACACTTTTATTACCTAAAAGCCACAGCAGAATTGTTGTGCATCTGTGAGCAACACTGTTGCCAACTCTCACAAGATAAATAAGCAACCGCAGCTTCAAAAACAAGCCCAAAACAAACCCAATATTTTTTTTTCATCAAGATTTATCATCATCAATATTATTTATTACCAATAAATGAGCCTGCAACATATTAAACTGAAACCACTCTTTTTATCTGAAAAGCAAAAACAGAAGTTATTTTACAAAAATCAGCAAACTGCAACAAAGTGGGAACAAAACTCATCTCACCTGTGAGCAGAATAGGATTGGAGAGATGGAAAAGGAGAAAAACAGAAGAGCTTCAAAGGGGAGCTGTAACATAGCCACCTATTTATAGCCTACTAAAATATTGGCTATTCGAACCATATTTACTCTTAGTATTAGTATAGGACTACTTGTTTTTTATTACAGCCAGTGATAATTAATACATTACAAAAACATTGTAAAAATTAAAAATTAGGCTAAAAGAAAGTCATCCCACTCCTCTACTTCTACTTCTATCATTGCTTGGATTACAGCGGCACGCGCCTTCTTTTTGAACGTGATTTTTCTCCAAAGTGGGGGAGGAGGGGGTTAGAACATTTGGCAAATTACGCTGCAGCACTTTTATATTATTGCACTGGTTGGCTATTAACTGCGCGCAGACAGTGTCAATCAATGCATTGGATGATACGGCGAACATAAAGAAACGAAGTTGCTTGTCAGATTTCCCTAACAAGCAACCATATTTATTAAATAAGCCCAAAAAAACACAACCCTCGACCCGGGATTTTTTCACGTAACTTTACAAAAAAAAAAAAGAAGCCCAAAGTCGCGTATAATACGTGGACTTGGCAACTCTGGTGAGCAACACAGCGGTGAATGAATCGTGTGAATCAATGATTCAGTAGCCCATTAATAAAGAGAACCGTTTACTTCATTCCTGAATGAATCAGCCATTTGAACGAACTGACTCATAAAGACATTTACCGCCACCTGCTGGTAGATTTAGTTTCTTCTTTAGAGTATAATTTCATTTATTAAAAAAATGTATAATTAAAGGGATTAAAGGGATAGTTCACCAAAAATAAATAAAGAAATAAAGAAATTCTGTCATCATTTACTCACCCTCATGTTGTTTCAAACCTGAATGACTTACTTTCTTTTGCACAACATAAAAGAAGGTATTTTAAATACTGTTTATAACTAAGCTGTTTTGGTCACTAGTGACTTTCATTGCATGAACAAAAAAATACTAAGATGTTTCTCAAATTATCTTCTTTTATGTTCCATACTTTGTTAGGCCATTGTAGCCTAAATATTTAACACAATAATAGATTTAAATGATCTTTTGGGGGTATTTTCACAGCCAAATTTAGTTTGCGATTAATTATATTAATTAATCGCAGCACCCTGTAATTAATTAGATACAAATTTTTAATCGACTGACAGCCCTACTTGTAATGCACTACCCCCAACACTGGTAACAGATTTTCGAAACAGAAAAAAAATGTAGGGTGGGACTTGGTTCTATTCATGATTGATTTTGAGATGTGGCCATTGGATTGAAAAATGTATGCAAGCTTGCAGTCGATTGTGATGTTCAAATAGAATAAAAGCTGTTTTATTTAAAGCTGCAGTCCGTAAGTTTTGCCTCTTTGTCGCCATCTCTGTTTGAAAACCTGGAATTGCAGCTGTCTGCGGAATTATCTAGCTTGCGTGGGTTGTGCTCCGGCACGGCTCCAGTGCGGATGAATCTAATGTTCTGAAGAGTATGTGTGGCAGTCAGTCAGTCCACCGGTGTGGATATTTACTGTACTTCGCAATCACAGATTCTAGCCTCCGTCTTGGAATATGACCCAAATAAGCATTTTCACCATATATTGCCATCTGAACAAGTAAGTAACAAGTCTGCCACGTTTGTTCTGACCAACTGAGGAAAAATGCATTACCATAAATCTCGCTACCAATGGTGATTAAATCTAAAGATAGGTTTGCTCATATCACATCAAACCGTTCAAATTATTATTATTGTTATAATTTATTCTCAAATGATTAATGTTAACAACATCAGCATTGGTGACTATGAGTAGGCCTATAGTGTGTATTAGCGTGTAGATTTCAATTTCTGCACAGTCAATTAGATTAGATTAATCTAATTGTCATACTCCTCGAATTTCATATTAAGAAATTCTTTTAACCCAAAAAGCAAACTATGCTCCCTTCGAACTGGTTTTCTTTAAAATACAAATCTTTGTAATCCTAGGCTATCTGTAATCAGAAGCACATGTATAACTGGAATATAATTTAATTTCATTCACATGTGTTTCATAAACACATAATCCTTTATGGATTACAATCCACCATCAAAATGATACATTTTATTATTCTAGCTGCTGTGAGAAAAGGCTATAAAGGATCGGCCACCTGCAGTATCCTCACATGCGATAGCCTAGTAGCCGGGACAACTTCTTTGTTTACAGACGTGACGTAATGACGCAGCAGCATGCTCGAATTTCCAGTGAAAACCTACCTGTACCACTCAAATTAGAAAATATTATTATAAGCTAACCGTTGTGAATCGGGCTAAAGTAAGGCGATAGTTTTGAACACTGGCTGGTTATGTACTTGCTCAAATATTGATTTCGGATCATTTTGAACTAAAAAAAGTTACGGACTGCAGCTTTAACATGGAGTGGGTCAGGCAGCTATTTTGAAATCTCATGACCAGACAAATACTCAGACTGTGATAACCAATGTCCAACGAGTAATTGGAATAAATGAATCATGGCTGACTACGAAAAACTGTGATGTGATCGTGTCACATTGCGCTGCAGTTTCACGTTAAATGTGGACAGACAAATCTACAAAAACAAGAGAAATGTGAGCTCTTTGATTCTTTAGTATTTCAGTGGTGACAGCCAAGCATGTGACACACACAACCAAACACAATCATACTGACATTACTATGGTTACAAAAAAAGTCAATGAGAGATGACGGTCGACCGATGTATCGGTTTTGCCGATTAATCGGCACCGATTATTATTATTATTTCTTTTACTACTACTACTAGTATGGTTCAGTACTGTTTTTGTTAATAAAGCGCTATTTTAGTTTTTGTTCAGTATCAATTTTAAAACGGTTAATTAATCGGTATCGGCCAGTGTGGTCCAACCTAGCTATCGGTATCGGCAAAATCCACTATCGGTCGACCTCTAGATGACAGGTTATGAACATGATGTCATCTGTATTTGCAGTATCTATGTCGACTAGCACGTTACATTTGTGGTATATTCCTGTAACATAAGGGTATCCTTTCATGTCTTGGCACCCCCTGGCATTACGTCAATGTGACACTGTGCCCTAAGTGATACAGATTTAACAATGTGGTCATATTTAATTGTAAGAATGGAGTGTTTCTCCATGTTTCTGGACATTTGTGAGGTTCTGCCTCCATCAAGATGTAATGAGCTTGCTCTGAACCAAATCACTGAGTCAATGTTTCCAACCTCACAACTCTGCCTTTACGTTTATTGTTGTCAGATGTGCAAGTATGAGAGACAGAAAAAAGACTGATGAAGGTAATGAGACATGTAAAGGCAAGAAGACAGCCAAAGGGCCAGCAGACATATAAAGGAGGCTGAATACTATAGGCAAACATGTATTTTTGTTAAATCTGACATGTTTCTAAATTTGGCCGTGTTTGAAATACTGAGTAAACATTATCCATTCACAAACATTAACATAGGACTACATAGTGCTTAAGGCAAAGGTCATTTTAACCTAGCTTTACGGATGTAATTATTTTAATGGTTAATGATCATTTGATTGATGACAAATCTCTCCTAGTGTATTAAGATCCATAATATTAACTCCAACTTATGCTCCCCAGGAGAAACCAAACCACATGTGGAGCACTACACTAATGACAAATGGAACTGTCAGCACACACATCGAAACACATTACCCGAATGTGCCAAATCACAGTGAGCTGTAAGAGCCGACTGTCTTGTACAACCACAACACCTGGCTGTGTGAATGAGGCAACTGGCCCGGTCTCTGTTTTCCTTTCTCAATTATTCTGCAAATAGCACCAGGGGCCTCATGTATAAAACTCTCCGTAGATTTCATTCTAAAAGTGTACGCAGGCACAAAAGCTATATTTTGCGTACGCACAAAAGTTTTCAGATTTATAAAACCATGCGTAGAACCTGCGCAAAAATCACTTTATAAATCCCAGTCAGGGGAAGATTGTGCGTACGTGCATCTCCACCCCGTCTCCTCCCCGAAATAACCATATATGGAGCTTACAACGTCTCGTTTTACGATGCATAACCTCATCTGCATATCATTTCCATGCATATTCCCATCCACGTGACACCATGTTTAACACCGTCAAAGGTACAAGACGTAAAGGAAATATGAGATATGGACTAAATGCCATTTGTGCCACATTAATTTTCATTGTCAAAATCATCCAGTAGCCTGTTTTAGAATATATCAAAATATCCATAAAAACAAAACTGTTTAGTTCTCAGATAAATAGCCTATTTTGGAATATACTTGACCTCAGTGGCCAAATAGTATTTCAATTGTTTTAAACAATTCAAATCAAATAAAATGTATGCAGTTTTGCTGAAAAGGTGAACACCTTTTAGCTATTTTTAATGGAAACAGATAAGCCTATAGCCTATTTATCGCAGTGTAAATACAATTGTCTGACTCAGCGCATCACTGACAAAGTGTTTTAAAAAGGAAACTGTCGCTGACATTAAAACATTGCATGCCACAGGAAAATTGATTAAGTGCATCAACTACAAATATGTCTAAATTCATATAATTTTGGTATAACTTCTGCGTAATGACTATGTAATTTCAGTGCTTATCTCCATTAATGAGAGTGGGATATTTAATGTAAATGTGTATATCGAAATGAAAACAGAGTTTAAAATCCTTGTTTACTTCATTACTTTTCTCACTCCAGGAAAAAGAGTGCGTATGCACAGTCAAGAGCATCCGTACGTTGTGCACATATTTACGGCAAGTTATTTTTTATAAATCCAGATACGTGCGTGGAAAACAGCGAACGCACATTTCTATGCCCATTTTGTGCGTACGCAACGTATATACATGAGGCCCCAGGGCTTGTATTTCTGTTATGTTTTAAAACGAACAGGTTGTTTCTGGTGGAGCACAGACTAAAGGTTAATTTATGTTCCAGTATTTCCAGCACTCATGTAGGAATGACTTCAAGAACTGCATTAACACGCATGCTAATGCTATCAAATGTAGAGCCTGAATCCAAAATACTTGGGGCCAGTTTTACTAACAGCAAATCGTCTTTTGGCATTAAAATGTACTGTTAGGTTTTACTAAAGACGCGCAGTGACGAATTAGCGCTGAAACGGCATGGACACAGTTATTTTTGCGCCTGACCTTATTGAATATGCATTTGTCGGAGTTTCCCTTGCAGACACAAAATTTATGGGAGGAGAGTATTAAAATTAATCACGCAACGCGTTTTACTAAGGTTTGTGCTCGTCAAATTACTGGTATTTGCTCCATTATTTAACGGCCAAAAAAGCATTCTTAAATTATTTTGCGCTTCAAATGGCTGTAATTATTGTTGCTAGGAGGAGGCACTGCAGAGAACAGAAGGCACGTGGTAGAAGGGAGAGGATTTTTTCCACACGTATTAATTTATTTGGATTGCCAGAAGAACACATCCCGAACATATTGTTTGCCAAGCCATGTTATTTTTAATTTGCTTCAGGAAAAAAAAGACGACTTGGAACCCTCAACTAGGAGTGTCGCAATACCAGGTCTATCAAAACTTCTCGCATCCCTTCATTTTTAAGCATACACGAGGGTCCGTGCGCAGTGCGTGACGCAAATTTCATCACCAGACTAGTACGTGCATACTGTACGTGCACCACCTGAATTTTTGTTTAGCCGCGCGCAGGTCACACATGTGCATTAAATTTGTTTTGCAGTATTCAGTTGTTCCACAAGGTGGCAACACTGGCCCAGGCTGCTGTTTCAGAGTAAAAAAATGAAACGAAAGAGACAGATACTAAAGAGCACAGACACTGGACTAAGATGAACCTTTCTTGAGCGCATATGTCGACCGCCAGTGTTCAAGAACGCTATAAAATGAAGTATACTTTAAAAGCCTTTGTGTTTGACTGTATGCATACGCTAACGTACATGTACAAAAATGAAGTATACTTTGGGCTTAAGTGTTCCTGCTTGACTTCCATTGTATAACAAAGCAGATTACTCAACTTCCACTGTCTGCAGATAGTTCCAGTATTGTGAGAGGGTATCTTAAAAAAGCAGCAATTTTGCGATAAAGTTCACTACAAAGTGGGCTGAATGGTGGTGGCAGGTAACATGATATAGGTTTTCTGCCTTTATTATGACCAGTATGCGTCCATCCACATAAAACATATTCTACATTAAATACAGTCATCCATAATGATGGTCTGAAAAAGTAATTTGGCTCTAGCTCTACACTAACCTACTTGCTACCCGATTCCCATATGTACATCTTCCACAAACAAACAAATACACACACACACACAGGTTTGTTTTTATGGTTTATGGGGACTCTCCATAGGCATAATGGTTTTTATACTGCACAAACCGTATTTTCTATTGCCCTACACCAATCCTACCCCTAAACCTACCCCTCACAGGAAACTTTCTGCATTTTTAGATTTTCAAAAAAACTCATTCTGAATTATTTATAAGCCTTTTGAATTACGGGGACACTGAAAATGTCCTCATAAATCACCTTCTCGTTGTAATACCTATGTCATACCCATGTTATTATACAAATTTGTGTCCTCATAAACCACATAAACATGCACACACACGCGCGCACTTATAGCTGATCTTTTACTTTTGACTCCTTTACATCTCCCTGTCCATCAATCTCTTGCTCACTAAACTCACCATTTTCCCCTTATTCCTGCATATATTTTCTTTCATGAGAAAAACAACAACTGACCTTTGTACAATCCTCTTAATCTAAGCACAACACACACACACAGACATACAGACAAAGTAAATCTCCTTATAATGGAACATTCACACCCTCTTCAGCTCAGGAAACCCAGTCTCGCCATCTCCTGCATAGTTTCTACAACGACCGGATGGGAAGCGTTACTTTGCTTTTCCACTCCGAGGAACTCTATTAGACACAGTGGGACCATCGAATGTGAGGAGTCATGAAAAAGGAAAGGGTAATTAAAGAAAAGGAACAAAGGAAAAACTTGGTAGAAAAGGGAGTAAGCCAGATTGCTGCACTGGATCGACCATAACAACATTTCCAGACGTACACACTCAAGCAAGTGGACAGCTGCAAAAAGTGTTGGTACCTGTGAGGGTGACCTTGGTGGTTCCGGGGATGACAAGCTGGTCTGCGATGTTACGCTCTTCTCCAGCGAATCCACTTTCTCATACGTCCTTTTCTGCCGGCCTCCGAGACCATCTGTCACCAGTGGCGACAGAATGACGTCACTGTGGTTGTTGCCCCTGCCCCTGTACAGTGATCGGTTACTTGATGTCACATCCTCCCTCGATTCACCCCCTCTTGCACCCATCTTCAATGAACTGACCGGGGAGCGTGCAGTACTTCCAGAAGCCTCTGAGCCCATCTCAGTGTCCAGACTGGACTTGCTTCCATGAAGGGCATTGGAACGGTTTACCACCGCCCTCATTTCCGCCATCAGCTTCTCATTTAATGCATTCAACTCCCCACTGCTGCCCACCGATCCGGGTCGACCCGACCCAGTGCCAAGAGCTGCATGACGTCGGTTCTTCCTTCGCAGACTTGGGGACGGCCCAGTGGAATAGCCAGAGTCCTGATACGTGACGGCAGCAGGGCCTGGGTACTCCTGAGAGGCCAGGCTGCTTTGACGGCTGTGGCGGGGCTCCAACAGCCTCCATGATTGCTTCTTCTCTACAGAGACTTCCTTCTTAATCTGGGCAGAGACTGGAGACTGGGGCTGGATTTGAGGACTGGCTGGATTTGAAGGCCCCTCGATGGGGTTAGACGTCTGGGGCTGGTGCTTGGATGCAGCTGCATCCACGTTCACCATGTGTTTAATGCACTCCCAGCCGGCCGGACTGTATTCACTAGCTGAGGAGCTGCAGATGTGTTTGCAATGGGGGAACTGGAGGAGTTTAGGAGGCTGGGTTCCTCTCGGCAGGCTGTGACTGGTGGGGTAGGGAACTCGGTGTAAGTGGTGTGCACCTTCTACTTCCATTTCCACTGGGGGTTCCTCGTAAATTGGGGGGTCAATGGGTGGAGGTTCGTCGTAGATGGGTGCTGAGGGTGTAGCTTTGTATTGAGGAGAGGAGGGGCGAGGTGTACCTGCACCAGAACGCTGGTGGGCACAGTAAGAGGAAGAGCTAGAAGAGGGCGAAACAAGACAGAAGTTGGCATCCCCCTTTTTGAGGTGGTAACCCTGCTTGGAGTCTCCAGGAACTGCCATTTTACTGAGCAAACCGGTTCTGTCAATTTGCGCTGTGTAACCTGGTTTGGGAGAAGTGCTAGTGTTGGTGGGGTTGAGGTGGAGAAGTTGGTGGGCAGTAGCTGGACCCAGAGATTGGTTTCTTCCAATGCTGTTAACTTTCACCAACATGGCAGCCTTGGATCCAGGAGCAGGCTGCCATCTTTGAGCGGCGTCCCTGAAACACACAAATGGAGAATACTGTTAACACATGCTGTGTTGTTCTTTTCTACCAATATAGGCAGGTGCTTTTAAAAACAGCATCAAAACTGAAATGGAATTGTTTGTGACTGATTTGAAATGTTCCTCATCAGTGTTATAGTCAAGACCAGGACCAGAAGAGGATTGAGTCTACATGCTCTCAAGTCCATGACAAGAAAATATGGTCTTGAACGCTGTCCAAGTTATCGACTACACCACTGCTCTACATAAGCAGCAACTCCCATCACACAAATAGCTGGAACCAATAGATCCAACATGCTACTAACAACTCAATACCCTAAAAAATAAAATATACAGCAAACAGATATTTGGAGAAGTAGCAGAACAATTTTTGTTGAAACATTTTAAACATTTGAATGTGCATCAACCAAACAAAGTCTATTTTACAATTCAATTATTTTGTAATATGTTGAAGTTAAAAACATTTATCATGTTCCTAGTATTCTTGCTATGAAGCATATCTGGCAATATCCTGTGGGTACTTGAGAGCTGAACATGAAACTCTCTGTAAATATATCCATATCTAATAGACAGGAATGTGTGGTTGCAATGCCAAGGTTGGCATAGTACTTTTCTCTTTCTCGTTTTCTTTCAAAGAATAGCTCATACATGCAAGTAAAAAACAAAGATGATTAAACAATGTGTTTAGCCTTAGGTAAAGAAAGGGTAAGCAATAACAATTTTAATATTTATTAGTCTAAGGAAATTGTTTTCGTACCAGAGGACTGCTTGTAACTATTTCGATCAAAGCACAAACAACAATGAGCAGACACACACTCACACACACACACACACACACACACACACACACACACACACACACTATATCCAGGCCACTGTGGTGGAGTGTGTATGAGAAACACAACAGGAAAGGTTGAACAGACAGTGTGTTCCAGCAGAGTGGAAAAACAGGAATCCACTATGGACTGCTATATTGACACTATCAAAATTTTACAGCAACATTAACAAAATTTGTAACAATACTATGAAAACCTCATCATGTAACAATTATATTCATTTATCAGCTACATATGCTGAACAACTGAACACACAAGAAACACACACTTAGAAGTTTACATTTGGTGTGTATATTTGCATACAAGCACATGTGCACACAATTAGTTGCATGTATACAATTTGTGTGTGTTTGTGTAGGTTTAAAACACACACAAACCACTCATGTTCCTTCACACATGCATAAACGGATGTCAAACGCACGTTCCTGCAAACGCAACGAAACACTTGAAATTCCAAAGCACCCTGTAGAAAGCCACTGTGAACTCCTGCAACCAAAGTGTGACTGCACGTGCACGCGCACACACACACCAATCCGCAACCATAAACATCCCTCGCACAAACACACAAGAATGTAAAATCAACATTAGCTGATCTTTGTTTGGCTTGATTAATGGTGTAAACCACCTTCAGACCATTAATCCAGATTATAGTGCTACTCTGTGTGCACACGTTAATCTGAACTCTGCCAGACTAGCAGTTTCCTTCCCACCAGACTGCAACAAACGGATCAGTTGAAGAAGTTCTAACCACTTTATATAAGCGCCACTAAACAAACCAGACAACATGCGCAGCCTCGTGTACCTTGTTCACACTGAGGTGACATGACTTTGCCAACATTACAAGAAACAAATCAGCCATTTAAATACATATATGAGCAAACATATATTCTCAATACAAGCGACTGCATCCTTTGAGATACACCTGTTGCTCATGACCTTCTAAACTCACCTGAGACAGTGATGCATAGCATATGTTTGAGCGTACGGTCAGTAGACATACTTACCCCTGGCATACCCAAAGGTGGCACGGCGATCTGTAAGGTTGCTTGGGGTGACTGAGAATATAGAGGACACCTCCCTCAGCTGGAGACGGAGAAGAAAACAACCAAATCGAGGAGAAGAGGCAAGTGTCTGCCGTTCAAAATGTCTATTTTTAGCTAATCAAGCTCTTTCCATAAATCAGTAGGTTATTAACTTCTGCTCAAATTCTTACCGTCACCATGCGATCGTTTAAGTGGTACGGAGAGGGAAAGCGAGAGAGTGAGGGAGGAAAGGAGGAAGGGAGGGTGAGAAGGACAAGGAGAGAGAGGGAGGGGGAAGGCGGCTACTTTCGGCCCTCCTCTGGGTTACAGTAGCAGGAATGCGAGTCTTGCCATCGTATCACACACACACACACTTACACACATGAACTTGGAACGCCACTCCCCTGGACCGTTCTCGATCCGCTCGACTCGATCAGATCAGACTCTCGACGTGTGAAACAATACATCTTCAGCTCCCCGAGAGGCCTGTATTAACTAAAGAAGCACTTCACTACCCTCCATTCCTTAAGTTCCACTCTGGGCTCATTTATAAAAACAAACTCTTTGTTTTATTCAAGTGGCTGTCCACCTATTGATCGGAATCTTTTCACGCACAGACTTCTCTCTCCGTTTCTGTGCCTGCTGTGGTCTTTCCCACCCATTGTGTCTACTGTCTCATGGCCAAATGTCAACAATCTATTCACGGTGTTGAGTAAATACAATGTCGCAGGCCTGTAAATAATCTCAACACAAGGAACAAAACACATCATTCTTCTCTGTCTCAGCTGAGAAAGTTAGCTGGTATAAATATTAGGATAAAGTTATGTTACAGTGTGGGATTGAACGCTGTAACAATGTTTGGTTGTGGGCAGTAATGGATATTTCCCTGCTCTTTCTTTCCAATATCATCTTATATTTACCTGTTTTCAGTCTTTCATTACTCTGGACGTATTTTACACCTGATATTAACAGGTTTCTCAAATGCATTTCATCTAAGGGAGGATCTCTGATTGGGTAAAAAGTGCCATATTTTTGCTCTCAAATATACATGAATATGTTGTGCATGATTATTCAAATGTTTGGGGTTGGTAAGAGTTTTTACTTATTTTTTTTTTTAATGGAGAATCTTTATTTGATCAAAAAATCTTTTGATCAGTTTAATGCATCCTTGCTGAATAAAAGTATTGATTTCTTTCAAATAAATAACATATCTTACTGTCCCCAAACTTTTGACAGTTCTTCATGCATTTGAAGTGTTTGCACTAATGCATCTGATGCATCACAGACAACACATATCAGGATCCTTAAATGTTTTTCAAAAATTATCAGGGAATAAAAACTGTTAGAGGAATTTAGTAGAATGAAAAAGAAAACCGGAACAAACCTTTTTATATTGTTCCATAGTGAAAATATTATTTGGTAACCATTCTAGTAACCATTTATTAATACTATTATTTCATTTAGATAATTTTAACAAACCAAATAATTTTTCACATCTACTTCTTGTTACTTGATTCCTTACATATCAGATATAAACAAGGCCTCCCATTATTTGTTTTCAACACTCTCATAGTTTCTCATTACTAACTAAACCAAAAGCCATCCTTGTAGTATCCAGCATGCAGTCGTGACTTAATCTGTGATTACTAATGAATACAACAGCTCATTTATCTTCAGAGGGGTGAAAAGCATCTGTGATGCAGGTGTTGAGGTTCTCACACACACTCATTCACAAACACACAAACCCAACCACAAAAGACTCCAAACATCTTGGCCAGTGCAGGCCACGCTGACTGTGTTATTTGCACTGAACACAAAGGGATGCTGAGGCTGGACAGGGGGCCGGAGTGCAGAACGGGGGTGTCCTGAGGGAGTGCATGTTGGAAAAGTTCAAAGGGCGTTTCTACTACAGCATAAACAGGAAATACCAGCGCAGCGTTCACACTGAGCCGAGCAGAGAGAGTAATGCGTGTGCTGCATTATAGTGATGGAGAAAACACAAAAGAAAAAACCCCGCTGCGCTTTCCGTCTTTAACTGTCTTTATTACACCTACGTAAACATTCAAATAAACATGCAGAAGCTCACCTCACCTTCAGCTTTAATATACCTGAGGATCTATAGCATTTCCATTCATCTCAATGGTACTTGCTCAGCTGGAGCAGGACCCCTGGAAGTATGTGAACCCATTTTTTTTTTTTTTTTCTGCCAATCATCTGAGATGTTAATGTCACGTGACTGGTCATTCTATTTTAAAACTCAATGCAGCAGACGGGGGAAAACACTATTATTTCACATATTTAAGAGTCGTCCTGACACAAAACAAAACAAATACAATTTGTATATTTCTTGCAAAAACTGCATTTAGTCAGTTTAGTAGAAAAGAAAGAAGAAAGATGCCTTATGGTGTAGTTACAGTATCTACCACCTTGACCACTTGATCTAATACCACAGACCACTGATAAACATATATTTGAGATTTTCTTAACCCTTGAAGCAGACTTATTATTATTATTATTATTATTATTATTTCATAGGCCAATCAACTGTCAAAGTGAATGCAGCTCAAATGCTGACTGGACAGTAACTGATTAGACAATTTATTGATCAAGTACATTTCACTTAGTCTATTTATCTCCATCCAACCGTCCGTCCGTCAGTCCATCTATCCATCCATCCATCCATCCATCCATCTATCCATCTCTCAATCCATCCATCTTTTAGTCTATCATCTATTTATCCATCTCTCTCTATCCATCTATCCATCTCTCTATCCATCTATTCATCTCTCTATCCATCCATCCATCCATCTTTTAGTCTATCATCTATTTATCCATCTCTCTATCCAGCTATTCATCTCTCTATCCATCTATTCATCTCTCCATCCATCCATCCATCCATCTTTTAGTCTATCATCTATTTATCCATATCTCGATCCATCTATCCATCTCTCTATCCATCTATCCATCTCTCTATCCATCTATCCATCACTCTATCCATCTATTCATCTCTCTATCCATCTATCCATCTATCTATCCTTCCATCCATCTTTTAGTCTATCTATCTATCTATCTATCTATCTATCTATCTATCTAATGGTATTAGCAAATAATTATGGTGTTACTTATTTGGCGAAGGG